GTCATGATCTAATAAATGGTTGAGTTTGGCAAAGGGGATGGCATTGGCATTCATTAGAGTACGATCACGTCATGGGCTAAGCTTTCTTGGACGTCCTTTTCATGTGGATAGAGGTACAACTGGGGCCCAGTTCTCCCAAACCCAATCAAAAAAGTGGGGTTGGATTGGGTTTCAGTTGAAGTTCGGTACAGGGTTAGGGTTGAAAAATTAGTGGATGTGAGTCCAATTTAACTTCAGTTGGGTTAGGATTGAGGCCTTGGAAAAACAACTTTAATCCAGTAATCTTAAGCCTGTCAAAAATGTTTTTCGCAAAAATGAAGTCAATCCAAACCCAATTTGATCTATTGGTTGGATTAGGGTTGGGGTTCAACAACTCGAATTAGATTAGGGTTCACCTCAACTAGACCTAACATAGCCCTGCGTGTATCCCTTCATGTGGACCCCATTAATCCATTGCATGTCAGCATCATTCTATCAGCTCCATAGAAGGGAATCTAGATCAAGCTAAGCTTGACTTTGAATTTGATGGAAAAAAGAGAGGTAGGCCATGAGTGGCAGGGTTTTAGGTATATATATGGTTACGAGGTAGAAGACCCACACCATTGAAAGCAACTTTTAAGACTGAGTGACTTTCCTCCATGGTCTATGGCTGCATTTGAACTTTCCTTTCACATTGTAGGTAAGATGAAAGGTGTAGTTGTCTCAACAACATTGTTCATGTGGCCAGTGAGGAGACATATCCAACTAGACTCAAGTACAGAAGGTCTGAAACACATGGAATGGGTCCCATCCAAGTTGTCAAGCCCAGAATGAACATGACCAAATAATGTTTTATCTTCTTATTATGTTGATTTCTATTTGTTTTTTATTTATTGTTAATCGATTAGGTGGTCCCCATCCATTCAATGTTGGGTCCCAGCAATTCTATAAAGATGATAGAATTATTTATTTTGAGATAGTTCTCTCACAATTCTGCCAACTTTCCAGCTTGTTGTTGCGTGTAATTTCGAAATCTTAAAAATGTGGGGTTGGAAGCTTAGGCTATGTATAGTTAAAATTTTGTTATAAAGACATTATTTGAAGAATGAATTTTGAGCCAAAAATGATTTTTTTAAGCTTGATTTTTTTTGCTCTTTAAGAATCAATTTTCAGAATGAATTTTGAACCCAAGAAAAGCTTTACTATTCCAGTAATTTTCATACTTCCAAGTTTAAAATTGGGTTATAACCTAAACAGTACTTCCCTTCACTTTTCTCTCTTTCTCATTTTACCCTGACTTTTCGAAACCTCTAGAGACCCCTATCTATCATCACGAGATGAATGTATTTACAATTTTATCCCTCCTTTTTAATTTGTCATGAACAAAAATTGTGGGATGATGAAATTTATTATTTTATTATATTACCTCTATTTGAGGGTTTACCACTTCATCCAAATGGGCTTGGAACATTTGAATTTACCTATTCTCTTTTTAAACAATTATTTAATGGGTATTTTGATGAATACCACTTTTACAATATTGATTGATTGGTTATAAGTTTTTATCATGTTTTTCCAATATCATACTCGAACCTATAAATATAGTATAGGCTTAGTTTTGTCATTAAAAATAATTAATGGTCAAGTCAGTTAAATTTAAGAGAAATGGGAAAAGTGAAGGGGCTTTTAGATAATAACTCTTTAAAATTGATTCTTAGAATCACAAAATTTAATAGAATTAATTCTATGAAAATATGTCAAATGCAATCATGCCCAAACCCACAAATAGAAGATATGGGTAAGTTTTGTCACTAAAAATAATTAATGGTCAAGTTGGATATCTTTTGCTAATAATCACTGGCAGTGACTTGAGGGAATGTAAATTAGGGTTTGTGTGGTTTATAGCTAGAATTTCCTTTGAAATTTGGAATGGACTATTCCCATAATTTGTTTGATTCATATAGGAATGGGAATAGGAATTGGAATCAGTAAGAATAGGATTTCATTCCCAAGGGAGGAGCAGGGAATGACCATTCCTTCAAATGGAGAAATGTCATTCCAGTAGGAATGAGAATGTGATTCCGATTCTAGACCCCTATTCTTGTGAACCAAATTGGGTCTAGATATGACAACAAAAATTCATTGATAGTGGGGTCTTTGAAGGTTTTGAATAAGTCGGGTTAAGTTTAAGAGAAACGGAAAAAGTGAAGGTGAGCTTTAGATAATAATCCTTTAAAGTTGATTCTTAAAATCAAAAAATTTAATAGAGGGCCCATTTGGTTTGTAGTCGAAATCGGAACCGGAGTCCGAGTCGAAATCCTCCAAGAATCGGAATCTGAATGATCCATTCCCATACTCTGTTTGGTTCAGACAGAAATGGGACTGGGAATTGAAATCAGTAGGAATGAGATTTCATTACCAAGGGAGGGGCAGGGAATGACCATTCCCTCAAATGGGGGAATGCCATTCCAGTAGGAATGAGAATGGGATTCCGATTCCATCCAACCAAAAAGTTGGAATTGGAATAGCCAATTCTGATTCCAATTCCAGACCCCTATTCCCACGAACCGAACGAGGTCTTAGTTTTTTCGCTAAAAATAATTAATGGCCAAACTGGATTTCTTCTATTAATAATAACTGATAACTAACAATGACCTAAAGGAAGGTAAGTGATGAAGGGAAATTTGGCCCGACCTCGCCATCACTCGACGCGTGGCAAAAGCGAACAGCTCGGAGCAACAGAGCGCCCAAAACACCAAAAGAAAAAGGAGCACGAGCTCCCTACTAGGAGCCCGAGCTCCCTACTAAGAACCCGAGCTCCCTGCTAGGAGCCCGAGCTCGCAACTAAGGACCTGAGCTCCCTACAAGGAGCCCGAGCTCTCTCCTAGGCCATAAACCTCGAGGCCGTGACCCGAGCTGGCCCATGGAAGCTCGGAGCACTCCCCAAACCGAACTCAAGACTT